TGACGTATATCCAATAACTGAAATATCCAAGTTTCAATATTTTTTTATAACTCCAACTGCACATAAGCTGTCAGAATAAATATTGATGGACTCATTTGTAAAATAACTTAAAGCACAAATGAGAGCTTATTGTTTTTCTCCTTGGGCAGAAGCATATGAGGTTTGTATTATCTCTGTATGAGCATAACTATAAAAACCTGCTTTACCTGAGCTTGAGCTATCAATGAATACTGTTAGTGTGCCATATTGGTTGTGCACATAAAATCTTTGGAAATATGAATGGCTTTACCAATGCAAATTGAATAATTTTATCCCAAGGATAATGACTCTTTATCTGACCAGGAAAATTAGCAAAAGCTACTTGCCAAGAATTGGAATTTTGAAACAGCCAATTATTCTGTTGAACAGAAAATGGAATGATTATAATATTAGGTTCTGATCCAATGAGCTGTAAAACTCTTGTTTTGCTCTTTATCACTAATTCAGCAACAAACTCATGAAAAGGAGTTAATGACTTTTGAGAAGAGTGGGCTAAATGAATTCACTCAGTAACTCCCAATGTTTGTCATATCACCCCTGTAGGAGCGTGAGCAGTTGAAAATATCAATAAATATATAGGCTCTTGTGGGTTGATTCTAGTAAACTGAGCATTTTTAATAGCAATTTCAACTTTCCTTAAAGACGTTCTTGCTTCTGCTGTGAGCTGACGAGAAGAAGTTGGAGAAGGATCTCCCTGTAATATCAGGAATAAAGGACTCAAATCTGAAGTAGTTAGTTTTAAAGATGGCCTCAGCCAATTAATATCTCCTAATAACTTTTGAAAATCATTAAGGGTGTGCAGCTCCTTGACTATTATTTGTAAGTTTTGAGGACAGATTGTATGTCCTTCCATCACATGACCTAGATATTGAAAAGGAGATGTCTTTTGCAACTTTTAAGGTGCAATGCACAAACCCATTGCTGTGAGTGAAGTCTCTAATTGGGCAAAACTTTTTAGAAGTACATCTGAATTAGCATGAGCTAAAAGTATGTCATCCATAAAATGAATAATATATGCATTAGGGAATTTTTCCCTCACAGGCGTGATAGCTTGTGCCACAAATTCTGACACAGGGTAGGACTGTTACGCATTCCCTGAGGCAGCACTTTCCAGCAATATCTTTTAACTGGTTCTTTAAAATAAATGGCTGGAAAGTGGCAGGATATAAAATCAACACGCATAAATCAAAGGTATTCCTGTATATCAGCGACAAATCCTCTGAAATGGAAATGAGGACAACCATTCCATTCACAATATCCTCAAAAAAAATATAAAATACTTGGGAATCAACCTAGCAAAAGAGGTGAAAGACTTATAAAATGAAAATTACAGAACCCTAAATAGAGAAATAGAAGAAGATCTTAGAAGATGGAAAAATATACCCTGTTCATGGATAGGCAGAACTAACATCATCAAAATGGCAATATTACCAAAAGTTCTCTATAGGTTTAATGCAATGCCAATCAAAATCCCAACAGCATTTCTTGTAGAAATAGAGAAAGCAATCATGAAATTCATATGGAAAAATAAAAGACCCAGAATAGCAAAAACAATGCTAAGCAAGAAGTGTGAATCAGGTGGTATAGCGATACCAGACTTCAAACTGTACTACAGAGCAATAGTAACAAAAACAGCATGGTACTGGTACCAAAACAGGCCGGTGGACCAATGGTACAGAATAGAGGACACAGAAACCAATCCACAAAACTACAACTATCTTATATTTGATAAAGGGGCTAAAAGCATGCAGTGGAGGAAGGATAGCATCTTCAACAAATGGTGCTGGGAAAACTGGAAATCCATATGCAACAAAATGAAACTGAATCCCTTTCTCTCACCATGCACAAAAGTTAACTCAAAATGGATCAAGGACCTTGATATCAAATCAGAGACATGGCATCTGATAGAAGAAAAAGTTGGCTATGATCTACATTCGGTGGGGTCGGGCTCCAAATTCCTCAATAGGACACCCATAGCACAAGAGTTAACAACTAGAATCAACAAATGGGACTTACTCAAACTAAAAAGTTTTTTCTCAGCAAAAGAAACAATAAGAGAGGTAAATAGGGAGCCTACATCCTGGGAACAAATCTTTACTCCTCACACTTCAGATAGAGCCCTAATATCCAGAGTATACAAAGAACTCAAAAAATTAAACAATAAGAAAACAAATAACCCAATCAACAAATGGGCCAAATACCTGAACAGACACTTCTCAGAGGAGGACATACAATCAATCAACATGTACATGAAAAAATGCTCACCATCTCTAGCAGTCAGAGAAATGCAAATCAAAACCACCCTAAGATACCATCTCACTCCAGTAAGATTGGCAGCCATTATGAAGTCAAACAACAACAAGTGCTGGCGAGGATGTGGGGAAAAGGGTACACTTGTACATTGCTGGTGGGACTGCAAATTGGTGCAGCCAATTTGGAAAGCAGTATGGAGATTTCTTGGAAAGCTGGGAATGGAGCCACCATTTGACCCAGCTATTCCCCTTCTCGGTCTATTCCCTAAAGACCTAAAAAGAGCATGCTACAGGGACACTGCTACATCGATGTTCATAGCAGCACAATTCACAATAGCAAGACTGTGGAACCAACCTAGATGCCCTTCAATAGACGAATGGATAAAAAAAAATGTGGCATTTATACACAATGGAGTGTTACTCTGCATTAAAAAATGACAAAATCATAGAATTTGCAGGGAAATGGATGGCATTAGAGCAGATTATGCTACGTGAAGCTAGCCAATCCCTAAAAAACAAATGCCAAATGTCTTCTTTGACATAAGGAGAGTGACTAAGAACAGAGTAGGGACGAAGAGCATGAGAAGATGATTAACATTAAACAGGGATGAGAGGTGGGAGGGAAAGGGAGAGAGAAGGGAAATTGCATGGAAATGGAAGGAGACCCTCAGGGTTATACAAAATTACATACAAGAGGAAGTGAGGGGAAAGGGGAAAAATACAAGGGGGAGAAATGAATTACAGTAGAGGGGGTAGAGAGAGAAGAGGGGAGGGGAGGGGAGGGGAGGGGGTATAGTAGAGGATAGGAAAGGCAGCAGAATACAACAGACACTAGTATGGCAATATGTAAATCAACGGATGTGTAACTGATGTGATTCTGCAATCTGTATACGGGGTAAAAATGGGAGTTCATAACCCACTTGAATCAAAGTGTGAAATATGATATATCAAGAACTATGTAATGTTTTGAACAACCAACAATAAAAATTAAAAAAAAATAAATGTTGGTGAGGATGTGGGGTAAAAGTTACACTTATATATTATGGTGGAACTGCAAATTAGTACAACCACTTTGGAAAGTGATGTGAAAATTTCTAAAAACAAATAAACTACCAATGAAAGTAGCATACAAAAATAAATAAATAAATAAATGGCTGGGACACTAAAGGCAAACTTTTACAGTTATCTGGGTGCAAAGGTATAGAGAAAAAACAATCTTTTAGATCTACTACTATCAAATTATAATTTAAAGGGATAGCTGTGGGAGAAGGAAGCCCAGATTGTAATGCTCCCATGAGCTCTATGACCCGATTAATAGCTCTAAGGTCTTGTAATAATCTCCAGTTACCAGATTTTTTTTTTTAATTACATAGATGGGTGTGTTCCAAGGGCTGAGCTTAGGCTCTAAATGACCAGCTTGAAGCTGTTCCTCAACTAACACGTGGGCTATTTTAAGTTTTCCCCCTGTTAGGGGCCACTGACTAACCCAGATTGGCTCTTCTGTGAGCCAATTAATATTTTTGCTGTTTTGGGGATCAGGGAAAAGGTCAGGGCCCCCATGAAAAATTTTGGTTGGGTGCATTAAATAATCTCTGTCAAGGAGATTGGGTCATAGGTAGGTACTCACCCTGTAAGTTTCCCTCAATTTCCCTAGGAGTCAATCCTTGATTAAGTTCCTCAAATGAACCGAAAGAATCTGGGGTTACTAATAATAATCCTAAACTGCTTAAAATATCTCTGCCCCATAAATTTACTGCTAATGTGTCCAAAACATAAGGTTTGAAAATTCCAGTATTACCATCTCAGTCTTCCCAGCGAAGATACTGGGCACTCTGGGCAGGCTGAGAAATCTGCCCTATGCCTTCAAAATTGGCAGGCACAATATGTAAAGGCCAGCATTGGGGCCAAAATCCGCGAGATAAAACAGATTTATTTGCCCCAGTATTTACGATACTTTGAAATTTTTTATGATTGATTTTAAGTTCCAGTAGGGGGCGCTCCTGCAGAATTAACTGAGCCCAGTACACCCTGTCATGGAACCGGGATGTTGAGCTGTCTAGGGAACAGCAAGGTGAAAGTACTGATTGTGCCAGGCTGTCTAGGGAACAGCAAGGTGAAAGTACTGATCGTGCCAGGCTGTCTAGGGAACCGCAAGGTGAAAGTACTGATCGTGCCAGGCTGTCTAGGGAACAGCAAGGTGAAAGTACTGATTGTGCCAGGCTGTCTAGGGAACAGCAAGGTGAAAGTACTGATTGTGCCAGGCTGTCTAGGGAACAGCAAGGTGAAAGTACTGATTGTGCCAGCTCGGCTTTTGTAGAGAGCCGAATGGCATGCTCTGATTTCACAGTGACTGTTAGCTCTTCTCTAAAATCTGAATCGATAACTCCAGGCATTACTTGAATTCCCTTTTAAAAACTATTTCATCCCCAAATTAGGCCTATGGCACCTGGGGGTAATGGCCCATGGATTCCAGTGGGAACTTGCTGTGGTCCCATTTCAGCTGTTTATTACCACGTCTGGGTGGAGCTGGCTGGTAAGAGTGATGCTCTGCAAAGGCCGGCTGTGATGACGTCAAGGCCTGCGACTCTGACTCCTCCTCCCACCCATACTGCAGAGCCCCCACTGTTTGTTGGGCCTGGGGTAGACCCCGCCCTCCATTTTTTGTCCCCAAAGGAGGCGGATGTGAAGTTAGAAATGCAGGCTGGCCGCTGCCATATCCGTTCCCATCCCCCCTCGCCCCGCGGCTTTCTGCCGCCAGTGGGAACCAGGAGAGGTTTCTGCCCTATGGCGCCGATTCGCAGTCCTGCGCCAAATGCCCAGTTCTGCCACAATTAAAACACCGCCCACGAGAATGGCGTCTCCAGGATTGGGGCTGAAGTACCTGTTTTAAAGCCGCGGTGAGCATAAAACCTTGTAATTGTGTAGGACCAACATCCTCACAAAGGCAAATAAATTCCAAAAGTGTCCCTTTCTTCCAGTGGGGTGGGAGTGAAGCCAGAATCAGACAGGCAGTCAGTATAGAGAGGTAAACCCAGTCAGGTCGGATCCAGGTGGCCAATTTTGAGTCTGGGAAGTTGGAGACTGTCCCCTGAGGGATTGAAATGTTAATTCCTTCAGGGCCCTTCTGTTGTAGGGACAAACAAGGCAAGGCACGGAAGACAGCAGGAAACGGTTTTATTTGGGGGCAGCCAGGTTCAGGGGGCACAGCTTTTGCTGTAATCAATCCCCTGAACCCCGAGTTCAGGGAGTTTCAGAGTTTTATACCCAGCATGTAAGGGGAGGGGCTCAGAAGTTCCCAGTCTGCAGAAGTTCACATAAAAGCAGCTTTTTCTTTCACTGTTCTGGGAAAGTTAACCCTTCAAGGACAACATCTGACTGAGAAGGGGGGGAACTTCTTCTCCCCTCTCCTTCTTCCCCCTGCCAGCTGTTACCATGGAGCCCATTTGTAACTTATCTTAAAAATGTAGACATCTCTGTGAAGCCCTGCTCAAGGCCAGAGGCCTTGTTTGCACATTTCTTCAAAGTACTGTACTGGATACATGTTTGTGAAAAACTAGTGAGGGGGTGTCCAGCACCTGGAGGGCTGGTATCTTCTCGGCCAGTGGCCAAGTAAACAGGGCGACAGGAAAATAGGAAGTTTATCTACACTGAACTCTTTTGCAGAGATTCTTTTGCTGACAGTCCTAAAATGTAGGGCGTGGCTGCCTGCTTCCTTCCTGGTCTTGAGGCCACACATGTGACTGGGACAGCTCCTGGGGATCAGCCAGGAGGCAGTGCTGTGGGCAGTGATGGAGGAGGCAGACCACCTCAGGATAGGTCTAGGACCCTTCCACCCTGGTGGACAGGTTGTGCCTTCCCTTAAAGACTATAAGGTGGGTGTACACGTGAACTTGCTCCACCCCTCTGACCTTTATCCTGATTGGCTCCTGTGCAGTATATAAGCTGTGTGTACTTCCTCATTAAACGAGATCCTGCTTTGATTGTTCTCCCTGGCACATCTGATTGTCCTCCCAGGAGGGAGGGCTGGGTGTGGTCTGCCAGTCGACCTGACCTTTCCTCTCTTGGTTCATCTTGGTTGGGGCGTGCTTTTCCCGCTTCTCCCACTGGTCAGGAGGAGACGGGCTAAAAACCCCAACATCTGGCGCCCAGAACAGGGACGCCGAACAGGGACACGAAGAAAGTGTCAACGAGCCAAGCCAAGCGAGTACCGAGGTAAGGGTATCCCCGGAAAGATGGGGTGATCTCACACTCCCTGGTTGATGCTTCTCCTGCTTCCCTGTATGGCTGAGGGGAAGGAGGAGGGAGAAGTGTGTGAGAGGGAGCCAAGCGGGCCGTCTCGAGGCTCACCCTGCGCCCCTTTTTCTTTTTTTTACAAATTTTGACATCCCAGGAGCCCCCACTCCACTTTCTTGGGGAAACCTACTACTGAAAAGTTGGGAGATATGGAGTGTGCCTGGTGCCTGGGGTGGGACAAAACCAGCGGAACTAATCCTGTAAGTGGGAGGAGGGACTGAGGGACTCCCAGCAGCTGCTGAAGCCCTTTTGCTTTGGGGAACTTCCTCCTTCCTTCCCTGCACTGTAAGGAATACTCCACCTCTGTCTAGTTAAAAAGGGGGAAATAGGGGGGCATTGAATGCAGTAATGTGTTGATATTATAGTTTGTTTCTTGGGAATGACCTTGGCTGAATGTGAGTCTACAGGATGATGTTTTATTGTAACAATCTGGTATCTGAATGGGTTTTTGAAACTTTGCACAATCTTGCAGTTAAAAGTTAGGTTTATATAATTGTCTAGTATATGATTTCAGATAATTCATGCCAGAGAACTTAAATACTTAGGATGGGAAACTAAAGAACTGTACTTCCAAGTTGGCGGGTAACTCCCAATCATTCAGTTTTTTCATCAATTTTTGAATTAGGTAGCCTGGGAAGATTTCATTAGGTGTACCAGTGCATTATTAATTTGGGCAAGGATAGTAATCTGTTCCCCTCAGTGTGTAGGATTTAGGAAAGGAAAGTGTTGGATTGGGATGTTGGTCTGGCTTATTGAAATGACATTGAATAACAACTGTCTTGGAAATTTTTAAAGTTTAATTTTGGATATACATGGTAGTGTGTGGTTCTCTTTTGGAATTTTTCAGGTGATGTAATGTAAGTTAATACTACTTTAGGAACTTCAGAACAAAGGAATGGCTTAATGATCCTGAAGGGATTTCTTCGATAGTAGCTTTTATATTATCAAGTAAGATCCTATTTTCAGTTTTATGTGAGCAAGTTTTTTCTAGTGTAGGAAATTTTTTTTTCTTTGGCAAAACAAGATGTAAAGATATGAAATTTTGTGAATTGTATCTTAAACTTGTATCATAATTTTCAACATCCAAACCTGGGAATTATGACTTAAGGTTAAAATGCCTTGGGCATGAGGCTTCTGCTAAAATAGCAGTTTTCTCTGCTCCTTCCACACCTGAGCCAGGACTTAAGTTGAAATGCAAATGGAAGAAGCCTGTGAGCTCAGTAGAAGACTGATCTGGGGATCAAAAAAAAAAAAGGAGGGGGGAAAGGTGTCTTTCTTTTACCTGAACTCAAACTAGACTAAACCAAAAAGTAAATTGTACGGTGCTTTCTAATTACCGGCTGGTCATTTTTTTCTAGGACCCTTGCTTTTTCTTAGATTCTGTATTTTTTGAGCTCATGATTTTGATCTTACAGACCTAGGTTAATGTTTTTCTGATCAGTTCTATTAAAAACTGGAGTTTTTAAACATTGCAATGGAGATTTCACATGAGAAAAGCTACAAGGCCTTGTGTTATGTGTGCACACTTGTGTTATGTGTTGTATGTCTGTGTGTGCATATATCCATATGTCATGCACATGGTATGAAGATTGGCAGATATATGAGGAGCGCTCATGAAAAATTAAAAAAAAATGGATCCAAATATCTTTTATTGACGTAATTTAAACAGTTCAATTTAAATTGGGTAAATAGATGAAAGTAAAGATGTCTTTACTTTCATCTGTTTAACATATCAGTCATATGTTAAAAGGACAAAGATTCCTTAAAACATTAGTTTACCCATAACAGTGTGTTTTATTAAGTTTTGTTTCTTGTTTCTAGAGCAAGTAATCTTAAAGAAATTAATAAACAGCTGGTTAAACAAGAACTGTTATTTTAGAGAATTGTGCTATGTTAATTCTTTAAAAGCTAAATTTAGTTAATATAAAAACATCAATGTATCAATCTGGTGTTCTAAAGTTGTATGGTAATTTTAGGCGTAAAAGAAAAACAGGTTGGAGATTTGTTTGTATCTTTGATGTTCTATGGCTGGACCTGTTGTCGATGGGGTATGTGGGGTTTTCTGTTGAGGTATGATTCTTTAATTGTAAGAATGAAGGACCATTTTTTTTTTTTTGCACTGAGGTATGATTCTTTAATTGTAAGAATGAAGGACCATTCTGGACACTTTGCCTGGTTGTGGCTGGACTCCTCGTTGTCTCCCTCGTGGCATTTGTTGTGGCCACGGGGATGGGAACTGGACTTGCTGGCCTCAGTGCACCATGTTGTCAGCACTACCTCCAATCTCAATTCCTTGGCTGTGGTAGTCCTCCAAACCTGCTTATCGCCCGAGAAGGAGGACTAGGTCTGTTCCTACAGGAGAAATGCTGTTTCTATTGGGCTCCTCCAGTTTCTCAAGGATCGAGCCAGAACTGTTCAACTGATGGTGGTTGGGCAGCAATACGCCGTCTTACAAGATACTGACTGTGAACCCTATGAGGTTGGCCACCGCCCCTACTGGGATGTGCAGATGTAAGCCGGGAGCAGAGCCATCTCTCTTCCTTAAGGCTTCCCATTGGGCCTGCAGGCCCTGCAGGTAGGATTGCCCAAAGAGCTAGAGTGGTAGTCAATGACGGGTAAGATCCCCAGAGTGGGACAACCTAAGACAGGCACACTCTTGAGTAAGGCAAACACCTGCTAATAAAACGAAAAGGGGGAGATGTAGGGTGTGGCTGCCTGCTTCCTGGTCTTGAGGCCACACCTGTGACTGGGATGTCTCCTGGGGATCAGCCAGGAGGCGGTGCTGTGGGTGGTGATGGAGGAGGCAGACCACCTCAGGATAGGTCCAGGACTCTTCTGCTCTCGTGGACAGCTCGTGCCTTTCCTTACAGACTATGAGATGGGTGTACACGTGAACTTGCTCCACCCCTCTGACCTTTATTCTGATTGGCTCCTGTGCAGTTTTACATAAGCTGTGTGTACTTCCTCATTAAACAAGATCCTACTTTGACTGTTCCCCCTGGCACATCTGATTGTCCTCCCAGGAGGGAGGGCTGTATGTGGTCGGCCAGTTGACCTTTACCTCTCTTGGTTCATCTTGATCGGGGCATGCTTCTCCCATTGGTCAGGAGGAGACTGGGGCTAAAAATCCGGACATTTTGCAGAGACTCTTTTGCTGACAGTCCTAAAATCAGCCATGGTGAAGCAGGCTTTTCTGTGGAGAAAGGGGGTGCCACTTCAATTCCCCCCTTTAATGATGCTCCCCATAATTTAATCCTTTAAATTTAAGAGCATCACTACCATTATCTTGGCTTAAAGCCTTATATATTGCCAAAATCTTAGTTGTTGTCATACTTTCAACAGAAGCTTCTATAGTGGACCCGATAGTTTAATGCACAGTGGAGCCAAACATGGGAGCAATAAGCAGGTTAACAGCAGAATTCCCACTACACCAATTAAGCTTTTAAATCTACCAAGAGTTGAAAACCATCTTCTCAAAGCATGTTTGGGATCCAAACTTTAATGCCCTTCTAGGTATGAACTAACACATGTGCTAGTTCTCTTGTGTTGTTGGCTATATTCTTAACTGTTTGTCTATTGTCATCCTTTTGGATGCAACAATCTGAGCTGTTGAACTCTCCACATATATTCTTTCCTCAGCCAGTAAGTAATCTAATGCCAAGTGGTTCTGATAGTTAGCCACTCGCATCTGGTCTGTTGTATGGCTAGGAAGTCAAAGGCTGTGGCAGTCTGATTAATAATAATTTCTAGTACAGCTTGTAAGTGAATAATTCTGTTTAACATGTAAATAGGAGTTCTATAGCTCCAACTGCCATTTTGTTTGCAGGTAGCAAGACCATAAGTGGCAATAATCCTCTGGGGTGGCCAGTTACCTTCACCCCAAGATCGGTGACCTCCTAAATCAAGTTTCTTTCCAATGGACCTCTTTTTCCTTTCCAGTCATCCATCTGTAGCATTCCTCTGGTGGGACAGGTCCTAAATATATGTTTTACCACCTCTTAGTTATAGTGGATTGTCTTGACACATGGTTCACATGATCTCCATGGTTGGAATAGGAGTAGGACAGACTCCCTTAAGGTTATCAAAGGAAACCAAACTAAATAATAGAGTAATGTTTTGGTTAGCATAGGTTAAACAGCATAAATTAACAAAGCCAAACTAAAACACCAAACAAATCCTAGAAAACTTATATAAGCAAGAGAAAAAGTATAAGTGAAATTTTGTTACCCAGAGTCCAATCAGAAGGAGTTACTGTTATCAAACCAGTAGCAAAAACCAAACAGAGAACTGTGTATATATCTAGAAGCAAGGGGTGGCAATGCATTACAGTATAAGAACTATCTCAGAGGTTGAAAGAGTCCATTAGTCCTGGTGGGAAGTTTATCTTTCACAGGGCATTGATCAGCTAGTCCCTCCTGTGTGGCTGAAACAGGGCTGTAGTCTCCTCAAGCTTTGGCCATGCATAGACTAGTCAGCTTCAGGAGTGACTGGAGCAGGGCTGTTGTCCTTCTGATCCTCAAGCTTCTCCAGTGCTCCTTTTTCTTCAGGATGGTCAGCTTCAATGGTGTAGCAGCATCTGGAGAGCACTCCCAGTCCGCAGCTGCAGGCGTGAGTCTGGTGTAGTGAACCCAGGGACCTGTCTCTGCAAACTTGACTGCAGCTGGGGGGGATAAAATAACAGGGAAAGGGCCCTTCTAAACAAGTTCAGGGGTTGAATATTTCATTCTTTGACCCAGACTCCATCTCCAGGCTTGAAGGAGTGTGCACTGGGCCAAACTTACTGGCTCTCTTTCTCTAACCCATTGGTTGAGAACCTAAGACCTGAAGCTGTCATCTCAGGGTTAATTTTCCTGTCTCTCTTAAGTCTCCCTGTAGTCTCCTAATAAGAGGGGGGGTCCTCCCATATATTATCTCAAAAG